TGCTGTAGTTACCGGCGCGAACAAGGGGATCGGATTGGAAATATGTAAACAGCTGACCTCGAAAGGAATCTTGGTTGTTTTAACCGCTAGAGATGAGAAGAGGGGTGTTGAAGCAGTCGAAAAGCTGAAAGAGGTGGGCCTATCGGATGGTGTAGTTTTTCATCAACTGGACGTTACAGACCCAGCTAGTGTTGCTTCTTTCGTAGAATTCATCGAAACACAATTCGGGAAGCTTGATATCTTGGTATTATTTCACCTTCTAGTTTGCTGCTCTTTGATTTTTCTTTCTCCTGATCATATTTTGATTGAATGATGAGAGATGGAGTGTTATCACTTGTACAGGTGAATAATGCAGGGATTGTTGGCTTCAAAAGCGATGATGCTGAAGCTCTTCTAGCTGCAGGTTTTGGTAAGGTAGATTCCTCTTAATCCACTTGGTTTCTTTAAACCAGAGTAGAGATTTATCTGTTCAAACTCATAGCTAATGTTTGAGAGAATCAAAGGGATTACAAATGCTATGACAGGAACTATGGATGGTTTTGGTCCCAACTATAGGGTTAGGGTGTTTATTTGTTAAATCCTTTTACTTTTAAAAATTACAAAATGATTCTTCGACTATATGATATTGTTTTGTTGAGCACATCGATTATTAAAAGTTACAAAATGATCACCCGATATTTCAAGCTCATCCTTTTCTGTTAAAATATTGACAGTCTTCTGAGCTGGACATTAATATGTTGACTGAGATATGATAGTCTTTTGAGATTATGAGATCATATTTTATCATATCACAGTCAGTAGGATAACGCCCAGTTTAGTTTGCCATCAAATGTTAACAGAAAATGACGAGTTTGGAACATATGAATAGTCAGGTGACCATTTTGTAACATTTAATAGTTATGGGACTCAACAAAACAACTCCATATAGTTGGTGGATTATTTTGTAACTTTTAATAGTTATGAGACTCAACAAAACAACGTTCTATAGTCATAAGACCATTTGTGTACTTTATCCTTAAAATTTAATGGTGACATGCAAAAAAAAATAATGTTATGTCATCATTAAAAAATAAAAGAATATCATGTCACTAATTCCATTTATTTTTTAACAAAATCAAATCGTAAAATTAAATAATATTTTGAAAAAATAATTGTTAGATGACCAAAATGAAATCACAAAAATCCCCCTGCACCCGACCTGGATTTATTAGAGTTTCATCCGACGCAAAATCTAATCATACCTAAATATATATTTATAATTCATTTTTATTAGGTAAATAAGGATATAATTAAGAAAAATATAAAAAAAAAATTATTATTGCAATTATGACTAAATATATATGGATAATTGTAATATTATCTGGAGTCAAGTCAGGTTTTTCACATTAAACCTAATCTCAAGCCGAATTATAAAAATGATTCATTCGAGTCAAGTCGAATTGAAACTGATTGAGTTAACTAATCTTTCAACTATAACAGCATGAGTTAACTAATCTAAGCCCCCATATTAATGTTTTTATACGCATATCACTGGTTTAAAACCTTATTAAAATCCCATATTGATGCAGCTTGAAGAACAAGCCAACTGGCTTAGTCTAATAACTCAAACACCAGAGTTAGCTGAACAATGCCTTCAAACAAACTACTACGGTGCCAAAAGAATGTGTGAATCGCTTCTTCACCTTCTCCAGCGATCCGATTCACCGACATTCGTCAACGTTTCGTCTTCCATGGGGAAGTTAGAGGTAAGACACATGATCAGTTGCTGGTACCATAGCTTTCAACCTAAATTTGTTGCAGAAGCCAATGATGAAGATCAAGTTACATAATGTAACCTATAATGATCATATGCTAAATTAGTTTGTTCTCTTGTCGGGATCAGAATGTATCTAACGAATGGGCGAAATCGGTCTTCATCGACCCCGAAAATCTGACGGAAGAGAGAGTGGATGAGGTGTTGAGCCAGTATATGAATGATTTCAAGGAGGGTTCATTGGAAGAAAAGGGTTGGCCAGCTTTCACTTCGGCCTACATACTATCTAAAGCAGCCATGAATGCCTACACAAGGATCCTGGCTAAGAAATACCCTAATTTCATCATCAACTGTGTCTGCCCTGGCTTTGTGAAAACAGACTTAAACTACAATGCTGGGATCTTAAGTGTTGAAGAAGGTGCAGAGGGTCCTGTGAGAGCAGCATTGTTGCCTAATGGTGGCCCTTCCGGCCTCTTCTTTGTTAGGAAAGATGAGTCTGAATTTTAATCAAAAGCTTGCTTTTCTGTTTAAATCTTATTGGATACGTTTGAGAGTTGAATGAGAAGAAAGCATGATGCTTGAAGTATCTGTTAAAAAATAATATAATCATATTTAATAAAATCTTAATATTGTACTTGTAAAACATGAAATCTTGTTTTTTTCGTTATTTGATTCTTCAAAGCTAGCTACTATTGAAGAACTCGAAGCCTATATTTAAAGCATGTGAAGTCATTTGTTTTATTGTTGATCAAAATCCTTCTGAATAATCACTGGCTTATCCTCTTTCTCCTCATTTAGCTTTGCTTGTCTACATATTTTAATAAATGAAGTCTGAATTCATAGGAACTCAGTGAATATACTAAGCATCACAATAATAACACAAGTGAATGAAAACATGTTACATGCATCTTTAATCACTATTTAGAACAGAAACTTTTATTCCACATATCTTGCTTATTTGTTGCGATATAGAAACATATAGGAAATTAACACATACTTTCATTAATGTTACATGCATAAGCTGTGTTTGCCCTGGTTTCGTCAAAACGGATATAAATAGCAATACCGGTTACTCCACTCCTGAAGAAGGCGCAGCGATTCCGGTCAAGTTAGCTCTTTGGCCGAATGGCGGTGCCCCTTCCGGCCTCTTTTTAGTTCAGGGTGAACCACCATCGTCTGAATGAAACTTCATAAATCTTGATGGTGTAATGTTCCATTCATTCAATGTTCTGGCATGTGGAGAAGTTCTAAAATATTTATGACATGCCATTATTGTGAGTGTCTTCGTTATTTTCTTATCCGATAAGCTGAAGTATTAAGTGAAATGTTAGCAAGGTCAATGTCTCCAGCAATAAAACGTTGATGTTTCCATTTATTTGTTTGCGTTGAAATCAGAGATTTCGCGGAAGGAAAAAAAAAAAGAGTAGGTAGAGAGAATTAAATCAATGTTGTGAACTGCATAAGAAAATTACAAGACTATCTTAGGGACAATAATTAAACGTAATTATTTATTTTAATAGTTTAGAGGGATCACAAGATAATATTTTAATTATTAATTATATATACATACTTTGAAGGCACACTTGTTGAACCTAAGATTTCAAAAGGAATAACACTTACTTTAATCACTACACCGTTCAATATGTTCAATTAAATGTAACTCCTCATCATAAGCTAATTAAATAAAAAATAATTCCTAAAAATATGTTTAACACATTGATATCATTCTTTAAGTTGTTGCAAAGATGTCTCGTATATATATATATGGATGTAATTTTATTCGAACTTGATGAGTTTCAATCCGTCTTTGTGGGGTTAAGCTTTTTTAACGAAGACATCTGCCAGTTCGATGTCCCAGGGACTACTTGATTCTTGTTGACCGTTGGCGGTTGCGGGGGGATTTAGGGTTTAGGACCCCAAGAACGAATTTTGTTTTTTACTTTTAACTGAATTGGAAGATTAGATTTTTACAAGGGCAATTTTGTAATTATTGACATCCGGCTTATTATTGTTTAATTTCTGTTTCGGAAGTTTTGTATTTATGTTATAAGTTCATCATGTCTTGTATTTTGCTCAAGTTATCAACAACATTAGGTGATGGGGACACATTTTAAAAATGGTGCTAGTTAACACTAAACTTTTTTTTAAATCTTTATTGATTCTAAAATTTTAAACTAATTCTGAAACCAATCCATTAATGTTGATTAATTATGTTAAATCTAAAAAATAATTAAACTAGTTTATTTTAGAATTAATTTAAATATTTATTTTCATGATAATTATGATTCACGTTATTTTATTTATTTATTTATTAAATAACTATTTTTTCTAACAATTTATTAATTAAAAAATTCCCTCAATTATGATTTATAAATAATTTAAATTTTATATTTTATTTTAAATAAATATAAAAGAATAATTCTCCTTTAATCTTTAATTTTAATCACAATTTAAATTATATTTTTTTAATTAAGTATTGAATGCCTTTAACAAGGTTAGGTTTGATCATCCCAATAATATTTTAATATAATTTTAAAATAATAATTTAATTTAATTTAATTCAAATATTAATTTTTTTATAAAAAAAATTAATCTAACTTAATCATCGTTCGATCGAGTCGAATAATTTTTTTTTGAGTTATTTGAGCTGAAGAGTCCTATTTTACAACTCGAAGTTAACTTTTGAGTCAAGTTGAGTTTATAAAATTCAAGTAGAGTCGATTTGAGTTAATTTTTTGAGCTTATATTTAAATTCAATTGTAAATATTTATATTATTATAATATTATTTGATTCAAATCTAAATGATGTTTTATAACCGTATATAATACATAATATTTCTTCATATGTGATATACATATATTATACAAATTCGAAAGATTCGACTCAAACTTAAAAATTAATATACTGATTACTAAAATTTTTGAATTATTTGAGTTACTATTCAAGTTAAATTTTACAATTTCGAGTTTATGAAATTATAAATAAAAATCAATTCGAGTCTAATTTTCTTAATAGAATCAAGTAAAAAATTCGATTTTTTAAGTTTGGGTTTTTTTTAGCAAGACTTGAGTTCATGTCATACATTTTCCGTTATCTAATAATAAAATAAAATTAATGAAAATAAGTTGGTAATTTTATGATGTGATGTGAAGAGGGAAACGTCGGAGTGAACTTGGATGATTGGACACCACAAAACTCAGATATTTTAGTAGATGATTCTGGAACTTTGGTATTTAAGAATTGTAGGACGAGCTCATCAGTTCATCACGTTCTGGCTTTTCATTCAAATTATCAACTGGATTCTCTTTTACACTTCCTTTACTTTCTCCACAACATCAATGGCGGAGGCATCGAAGAGGTACTGTTTTTTCTTTTCGTTTCCATCGCATCCGTTGAGTATTTGGACTATTTTTGTTTAATTTTCTTCTTCTCAGATATGCAGTGGTTACGGGTGCAAACAAGGGGATCGGATTGGAAATATGTAAACAGCTGGCTTCCAAAGGAATCATGGTTGTTTTAACCGCTCGAGATGTGAAGAGGGGCCTTGAAGCAGTCGAAAATCTCAAAGAGGTGGGCCTATCGGATCGTGTAGTTTTTCATCAACTTGATGTTGCCGATCCTGCTAGCGTGGCTTCTTTCGTAGAATTCATTGAAACAGAATTCGGGAAGCTTGATATCTTGGTATTATTTCACTTCCATTTTGCTGCAAAATTACAACTCTTTGATTTTTTTTTTGTAGTTTACTGCTTTCCCGGTTCATATTTTGATTGAATGAAGAGAGATGTTGTCACTTGTACAGGTGAATAATGCAGGGATTATTGGCTTCGAAAGCGATGGTGAAGCTCTTCTAGCTGCAGGTTTTGGTAAGGTAGACCTCTGAATCTACTTGGTTTTATAAACCAGAGTAAAGAATTATCTGTTCAAACTCATAGCTAATGTTTGAGAGAATCAAAGAGATTGCAAATGCTAGGACATGAACTAGTTCTGTCATGCGTCAGTTCAATTTTTTGGCCCATTCCAACTTAACCTGAAAATCAAACCTATCCATTTGCGTCCGACTTGACTCGGGTTTAAGAGAACCTCATTGGATCCAACTTAAATAGATATATATAATTCCTTTTTTACTGGATAAAATAATACCCAAATTAGAAAAAGAATAATATAGAAACATATATTATTCCAATTATCTCTAAATATATAAGAATAATTATAATATTATCTAAAGTTGGATCAAATTTTTCACGCTAAATTCAAATCTGACTACACCCTTCAAGAAATATCGACTCAAACATGGTTTATTTTATAAAAAATCCAACCAGGTCAAAACCCATTGATTTCTGATGAAATGTCAATCCCTATCTCAAACCCAAAATTCACAATGTAATCTTTTACCAATAACAGCATGAATTAACTAAGCTAAGCCCTAAATTAATGCTTTTCTATTCATGATAGACTGGCTTAAAGCCTAATTAAAAACCCATTTGCAGCCCGGTGCACAATCGAACTGGGGTAGTCTAATAACTCAAACACCAGAGTTATCTGAGCAATGCCTTCAAACAAACTACTACGGCGCCAAAAGAATGTGCAAATCGCTTCTTCACCTTCTCCAGCGATCTGATTCACCGACAATCGTCAACGTTTCGTCTTCCATGGGGAAGTTAAAGGTAAGAACATAACAAGTTGCTTGTATCATAGCTTTAAGCCTAAATTTGTTGCATAAGCCAATGATGAAGATCAAGTTACATAAATAGCCTATAATGATCAAATGTTAAATTAGTTTGTTCTCTTGTTGGGATCAGAATGTATCGAACGAATGGGTGAAATCTGTCTTCAGCGACGTCGAAAATCTGACAGAAGAGAAAGTGGACGAGGTGTTGAGCCAGTATATGAAAGATTTCAGGGAAGGTTCATTGGAAGAAAAGGGTTGGCCGCTTTTCTTGTCAGCCTACATACTATCTAAAGCAGCCATGAATGCCTATACAAGGATCCTGGCTAAGAAATATCCTAAGTTTATCATCAACTGTGTCTGCCCTGGCTTTGTGAAAACAGACATAAACTACAACGCTGGGATCTCGAGTGTTGAAGAAGGTGCAGAGGGTCCAGTGAGATTAGCATTGTTGCCTAATGGTGGCCCTTCTGGTCTCTTCTTTATTAGGAAAGAAGAGTCTGAATTTTAATCAAAAGCTTGCTTTTGTGTTTTAATCTTATGGATATGTTTCAGAGTTGAATGAGAACAAAGCATAATGCTTGAAGTATCTGTTATTTAATGTAATAAAAGTAGCATGTTAGTCTTAATATTGTACTTGTAAAACATGAAATCTTGTTCTTTTTCATTAATTGTTTCTTTAAAAGTAGCTAGAATTGAAGACAAAGCATATTCCTAGGGCTATTGTGTAATGTTTACCGATACTGTTCGTTATTGTGTGATGTTTAAAAGAAGTATTATCAGTGCGCATGTATGCGTGTGAATGATAGTAACACATTGTGAAGACTTTGTTACGGTTTGTGAATGTCATAGTTTTCAGTGGGATTGAATTGGATTGGATGGACTGTGATCGTCATTTTCTTATTAAATTGTATATTGGGAACTGGCAATTCATCTAACATGAGTTAGTAACAAATATTTTTATTTTAAGTTATGTTTTATTTAATAAATTTTTTATGTTTTTATTTAATCTCTAATACCTCAGCAAGTTTCAAATATCACTCTTATTCACGGCGGATGCACTAAATCATATACGAAAGCAAATACATGATTATTTTAAAAAATTATAAAAGGAGAAAATAACATCAGTGACAAAAAATACATTATAATATACGATTTTAATCAACTTTTTTTGGATTTGCCAAAATGACCAACTAAATCGCAATGCGATCGATCAAATCAGTTTCCAGATTCGCAACGCGAACTTCGACTATCGCAAACGACTGGTGGTATTGCATTTGTTTCTTAAGAAATTTCTCTAAAAAGATAGTATTCGAGCGGACGTGTCGAAGACACATATTACCACTACCACGACCACGACCAAGCCTTAAATACCATTCTCAATAGTGTTTCCAATACTATGTGGGATTGAGTATTACCAACACTTGTTTCCAATACAATTTGATTATTCAGGAAACAATTAACAATCATGCACCTTAAAATAACTGAATCAGCAACCAATTGCATTAGTATTATACAAATATGTCATAATTAAAAGTCAATCTACAATCAATCGCGATTATTGCAATTTTAAGCAAAACATTCAAAAATAATATCACTATTTAAGGCTCAATCCCACATAGTATTGGGAACAATTGTTGGTAATGCTCAATCCTACATAGTATTAGAAACACTATTGGGAATTGTATTTAAGGCTTGGCTTTCCCACTTCCTTGTTGAGTGATAGAGAACAAGGGAGACTCTCGCGCGCCGCCGCCGTCTCGTCTCGGGTCGTGGTAATACGTGTATTCGACACGTCCGCGCGAATACTATATTTTTAGAGAAAATACTATATTTAGTTGGTCATTATGACAAATTCAAAAAAAAATTAGTTACAATCGTATATTATAATATATTTTTATCGGTTATTTTCTCTTATAAAAATTGAAAGAAAAAGTGTATACTCCAATGATCCTAGACATAGCTCTCATCTATATTTTTACCTATTAGTAATTGTCACGTGACAACAGAGTATAAAAGAAAATTGATAAATTTGTAAGGATACAAATATTAGAAGCCTCTAACCACTACTCCCGATCACCTACCCAACAGCATTTTTCCCCCTCTACGAGTAAACTGCCGTAATCCACCGTCTCCTTTTCTATCCATCAACGTTGGCTCAAGTTATTACCATTATTTCATTACGATTCTTTTAGTATAATCTGAGAGAGCCAAATGTACTTTTGGCTTTACTTTTATATATGTTTAAATAATAATAATAACATTGAAGAAGAAACCAATTGCAGCAAATACTGGTTAGAAGGAGTCAGAGACAGGCGGCTTCTCTCATTGAAAGCCATTTAAGTCTAATTTAAGGCTTCCTTCAACAAGTAAAACAATAAGAAACCATTAATGATAACATCAAGTAAAAAACTTGGGCTAAACAAACAACCGAAACCTCTTACAAAAACCAATACGCAATAGCAATTATCCCAGCTCTCCTTTTAACAACCAACTAGATTTTGTCGTTTGGTTGTTGCCAACATTAAGCTTATTACATTTGACCCGGTATTTCATCAAAAGGATTCATCTTTGCTTGGAGAGCATTGCATGGAAAAGCTAGTTTATCACAATGCTAGCCGAGAACCAGCTTCATCTGAAGCTTTGACCCTAATTCTCAAAGCCCCAATTCTACACTGAATGATATGTTAAGTAACGGCAAAGCATAAGTGCCACTAAAATAACATTTGTATGAAGTTCCTTATTTGCAAAGGATGTGTTGCCACAAGTGCAGCTTGGTCAAATGTATAGAATTCTCACTTGATGTCGAATGCCCTTTTCGCTGAACTTAGAGTGTTTGAAAGAAGCATTGCTATTGTCATTGGACCGACTCCCCCTGGAACCGGAGTAACAGCTGCAGCAACCTTGCAGGCCTCATCATAACAAACATCTCCGACTAACCGGTATCCTCGTGGACTACTTGCATCCTTTTACATGAACAATATAACACAAAAACGAGGATATTATAATAGGATGGGTAAGGAAACATGTAGATGGAAAACTCGAAAAAGAAAAGAGGGAAAATGCCAACTAACCTCAACTGGATTTATTCCAACATCAACAATAACAGCACCAGGCTTTATCCAGCTACCTCTCACCATATTTGGTTGCCCCACGGCAGATATTATGATATCTGCTTGCCTTGTAATTTCCTCGGGATTCTTGGTTCTTGAATGGACAATAGTTACAGTAGCATCTTCCCTCTACAAATATCAAGACACTGTTGGGGGGAATAATCATTTATTTTCTTAAGAGGTTGGTAGAAATGATTAGGACAAAAGACATTACTTGTAGTAACAGAGCAGCTGGCATCCCAACGATATTACTCCGGCCAATAACAACAGCCCTCTTTCCTTTAATATCAACACCGTATCTATGCAATAGCTCTATGCAACCTTTAGGAGTACATGGAACAAACAAGGGTTCTCTACCGCGCATGGCAAGACGACCAATGTTCAATGGGTGGAAGCCATCCACATCTTTCTCAATCGTAACAGCATTTAAGATGTTCTGCTCATTCATGTGCTGGTGGAAACCCATGAAGCACAATCAAGAGCCATATCAGTACCAAATGCAAGACAAACCAAGAGATAGACAACAAAATATGTTAACTCCAGATTCCAGAATCTAGCAAAGGTCCTATTGTATAGACTTCTACTAAACAGCTGAATAAGTCCAAGCCAGTAACAAATAAGGCAGATGTTCGGATGGTAAAATGAAGCTAAGATTCACCATAATAATTTTCTCAATCAAACACACAAACCCCGCTCTTATCAGAAGACACCATTTGGCTTTAACTTTCAGTCATTTAGGTCTTTCAATGGATTTTAACCATGTATTAATATGTTTGCAAAAGTCCTATTTCAAATATTGCAATTTAAGCTGCTTAATTTCCCTAGATCATTATTAGTTTCAACCATGCAAGCTCCATATAATACATAGTGTGATTCACACAAAGAAGATAAAAGTGTAGGTTGTTATAAGTAGATTAGAATCATACAGAAGGTAGAGGCAACTGAACAAGGATGCCATGAACCGAAGGATCACCATTGAAGTCAGAGATGAACTTGAGAACTTCTTCCTCAGAAGCATCATCAGGTAAATGCACTTCAAAGGAATTAATCCCTACAGATTCACAAGCTTTCTTCTTGTTCCGCACGTAAGTAGCAGAGTCCTTCCTATCCCCGACTAGAATAACTGCTAATCCAGGAACAACTCCAATTGTTTCCTTCAGTTTCGACACTTCTGCGCTTATCTCTTCTCTCATTTGCTTTGCCACCGCTTTCCCATCGATCACCTTAGCAGATGATTCTATAGCCATTGAAGCTTTATTACAACAAATCAAAACCTGCCTTAATGATCCCATTTTTATATAAAGATTAATGTGATCAAATATTTAAGCGCGCATAATACAGTTCAAGCGTTTGACGAAATGCGGCAGTGACAGAAAATAATAAAGAAAACAAATTATGTAAAAATAAGCTTCTTAAAGAAAATGAGAACTTCCACAAAAGCTCCATACCGGTGACGAAACGGGAAGAACGAGGAGAGTGGACGGAGAGGGTTCGAGGAAGGGTAGGGGTGGGTGAGGAAACATGAAGTGGACCCACAAACCGGCGAAGGGTATTGAGGCCGTTGCTGAAACGGGTAAAGGGGAGGCGGTGGACGGCGGCAGCCGACGAAGGGTCAGTGAATATCATGGACGCCATGATACTGTTATGAGTCCTGAAACGACGATGCAGTAAGCTAAACGTTGCTTCGGTTTAGGGCTTCACTAAAACGAAGAGATGACGGAAACGGAAGCTGCTTCTCAGCTTTTCACTTTGCAAGTGACCTTGGCGGCGCGACTCTGCTCACTTGCTTTGTGTTTTTGGGCTTCGGCTTTGCAAAAAATACAAACTTGTATCAGTTTTATTTATGGGTAAATGACATCGTTTTCCATTGAATTTTACTTTCTCTCTTATTTTACTCACCATACTTTTAATTTTACTATTTTACTCACTGAACTTTACAGATTGAATCATTTTGCGCTCTCTGTCGTTACCTCTCTAATTATGTGATGATGTATAATTTATTATTATTATTTAATATAAAAATATAAAATTAAATTACACCATTTCTCACTAAACATTACTCTCTCCCCCATTTTACTCACCCAATTATAAAATAAAAACATAATGTGGTCGAATACCACCGCTGGCCACCATCGACTATCGTAGACGGTGGTCGTTCAGTCCCAAATTTCAAGAGTCGCTTCACCTCGACACCTTGAGTCAAAGTACATTCTCCATTTTGTCGAAACTTGCTCCGAAGTCCACAAATTATGGTCGAGACAAATCAACCCTTGAATTTTGAGACCGAACATCCACCATCAACGACAGTAGACAATGGACATAATGAAGAATGATGTGGTGGATGATGACGAAGTAGAGAAAAAATGGAGGGAAATGAGAGGATTCGAAATGACGTAGTTTTGGTGTATATTTGAGTTTTTCAAAACGACGTCATTTTGATGTTTGTGCCATGTCATAACACCGTTAGAGAGTTAATGACGGATTGAGCAAAATGATCATATATGTAAAGTTCAGTGAGCAAAATAGAAAATTAAAAGTATGATAAGTAAAATAGGGGAGATAATAAAATTCAGTGGGAAACAGTGTAATTTACCCTTTATTTATTTATTTTGAAAAAAAAAGGTGAGCTCTTGGAATCGGCTCGTTTCCTGCCTAATCAACAGATGAACCGGTTCATATCAAAATTATGGCCGCATAAAGAAATTTAAAAAAATTAAAATTAAATCTATTTAAAATATGTAAAAAAATTATTTATAAGTTTACAATTTATGCTAACAAAACTTAATTAAGATTATTATTTATATTTACTTAAAAATATTTTTGAGTATTTATAAAAAAATTAAAAGTTCGACTTGGGTTGACTTGACTCGAGACTTTAACGATTTGAGTCAAGCATTCAATTCGACTCAATAAGTTCACTAGCAATTCATTAATTTTTTATATATTGTTTTTATTAGTTATCTTAAAAAATTATTTTATTAAAAAACATGTTCTGATAAATAATAAAAAATGATAAATTGCTAATATAATAATTTTTTAATAAATAATAAAAATACTAAATTATTAATTGATATTTTATTGCACCAAAAAAATCAAAGCTTATTTATCATTTTAGTATATTTATGGATTGTTACAGATAAACTTAAACGATTTTGATATAACATAATATATATTAATTTTTGTAAAATTAATTTCAGATCCTAAAATTTGTCCAATATTTAAAATAAGTTTTTAAGTTCAAATTATGTCAAAAATATCATTCAAATACTTTATAACAATGTTCAAAATTAGATTTTTCATAAAATATCAAATATCATTATTTTAAACAAGCTTTGACCAAGCGTTTCGAAATTTCTATAAGAGTTTCAAAACTTGAAAAAATATAAGACTTGAAGTTTTGAAACTTTACAAGAGTGTCGAAACTTTGGATTCTAATGGTTAAAAATTGTATTTCCTCTTTCATAGAGTGTCAAAACTGACTCTCGAAACTTTCACCATAGTTTTGAAATTTATTGTGCAGGTGACCTTTAATGTGCGAATTTAATGCTACAAACGGCTCCAAACTCTAACCAACAACCTCAAATGGCTAGAAATCAATGAGAGCACATAAAATGAGTCTTGAAATAGTCAAGAAAAGACAAGGAAAGTTATTCCAACAATCAAAGAGCAAATAGAGCTAAATTTGTATTCAATTGTGTCTTTCTTTCATTTAACACAAATCCATTCATTGTAATTTCTATTCTAGTGTTTTTGAGTGTGTTTGAGAGCTTCATTTTGCAAACAACCTATCTTTGTGAGGATATTCAAAGTTTGTTTATTTGAATTTCCTCTTAGGAAGAGTTGTGCACTTAAAATTTTGGGTATAAGTATTAGCATTGTGTATGGTTACACATTGTCCTAAACTGTTAGAACAAATTAGTAAATTTGTTGAAATCTTTAGTCATGAATCTAAGATAGTGGATGTAGATTTTATTAAGGAAGTTGAACTACTCTAAAATCCATGTGTCATTTTCTTATTTCTTGCAAAATCTTCCAACAAAATTTTTTATTATCAATTCACCCCCTCTTGCCACTTTCCTTGATCAATTGACTCAATAGTTACTTTGGATTTTATACTTTGTAATTGTTTAATACAATTCTTTTGATAATTTGTTGCTTAAATTTATTAATTTATGTTTATATTACGTTATATTGTACCAATAGAGTTTACCTATAATTAAGAAAATAAGGTAAAAAATTTGATGAGCTTAATGAGCAATGAGTCGAGCAACAAGTTTTTTTAACGAGCACAAGTCGAATAAAATTTTTATGATCAAGAATTTTTTTTAACGAACACGAGTCATACACTACCCAACTCACGATCAAATTGTTTGATAAGCACCCCTAGTCTTAACGAAATCAAATTGATTTCACCCTTTAAAATATGATTTTTTTTCAAAGTTACAAGTATAAAGATTGAAAAGTGAGTAGTTTTGTTGTGCGACAGTCTAATCTAAGGTTAATTTATACTAAATTTTAATTTAAAATATTTCTTTGTCCAACTTAAAAAATTATACAAATGGTAATACTTTCGATTATAATTAATAATGTTACGTTACGATAACTTTAACCTAAATGTTACAAGTCTACTCTAAAATGTTATATAATTAATAATAATTTTGATTACAAGTAATAATGTCTCGACAATAACTTTTTATATTACAACTGAAATAATTATACAATATACATAATTTATTATGGAGAACCTGATATTTTTTATTTAAACCTAAAATATTATCTAAATTACTAAAAATATATATGATATTAGTAAATTTTTGAATTACAACCAAATTTTACCATTTTTAACCTTATATTAACTGATTATATTTTAGACTCATCCAAAAAAATCTAAAACTTTTAGACTTTAAAATATGATGGGAACAATTAAGCCAATCAATTTAATGCTTTTTAAAACAAGTAAATAGTTTTTAACTATATAATGTTTAAATAATAATTTTTAATTATAAAATAATTATTTTATTTAAAAATAATAAATTAATTATTTTATTAAAAATTTATCGAAAATAGCATCACAATTAGAAAAATTAATATAACAATAAATTCGACCCTAAATATATTTATTTAATTTAATATTAATTCTAAATAAAATATTTTAATATTCTACCAATTTGATCTTACTAATCATTTTCCACACAAACTTCTCACCAAAAAAATTATTTATTTCCTTAATTTATGTCATTATCTTCAAACAAAATCCAACAAATTCACCCTCAATTGTCTGTTATAGAAGCATAACCAGCTGACAATTTTGTAGGCAAAAGAGAGAGAAAGTTGGCTTCTTCAATGTTAATAGCATATCCTTATCGGCCATTTCCCTTCAAAGCCTGATTTCTTCAATTCATTCTTTGGTCCCAAAAGGTTGGGTTGTCAAAGATTGAGTTTAGCCTTCAGCATGAAGAAATGGGATGTGAGTAACGGAATAGCAGCCAAAGCATCAGAATAACAGATGTGTAGCATTTCCTTTGAGAAAACATGAATAACAAATTAAACTCTGACCATATCAGATTAACAACCACTTCTTGGTAAATAACAATCATAAACCGGTTCCTTCACTACCAAGGAATGCATAAGGTAAACAAGTCGGTCAGGATTCCAATACCTGTGCAAGAACAGCGGCGACCAACTGCAGACTTGGTTCCAAGGTCTCCGGCACAACGTATGCTCAAAAAGCAAGGAGACAGTTATAAATAAACTCCAGAAGAATAGAAAAATCACACAGAGGAAATGAGAGGATTAAATTCGAAGGTATCGGTAATATTACAGCCGTCGCCCCAGCTTTTTTCCAAAATAAGGCCATGATCAACATCATGAGCCTGGGCGAAAGTCCTTACGTTAGGGAAATACTTGCTCAGAGCCCAAACAGTTCTGTAAGTGGCACCCGGCGTATCCAAGGTCATTGTTGCAGCAGACGCTCTTTCAGCACCAACTTTATGAAGGACCTACTCATCCAATATTATTAAAGTCAAATATTGATCCGCAAATTGAGCCTATTTCAAACTAATTTTGCTTACCTCTCGACTACCAGCATCTCCAAAATAAATTGGAAGATCCAGTGCACGGCCCATTGCCACCATATCGCTGAAAAAGTGAGAATTTCAGTAATCTTACCATATGATTGATTGATGGGATTTAGAAAGGCATTTCAAAGAGTAAGGCACATTCATCATGTATTTACATCAATCTTTCTAACTCATAGTCATGCACATACAACATATACAACAACTGGAAATTTAATCAGCATCAACCGACGGGGCTGGCAGAGCCTATAGTTTCTCTTGAAAATTTCAATTTTCCATATAATTTATGTATTCTCTTTATATTTTCGATTGAAATTTCATTTTCGTTTCTCTAAAATTTTATAAGTTCGCCCTCTAGCATAAAATCATGCATTTGTCTCTGTATTTAATATTATACAAATACATTGCATAAATTGGATAATGAAAAAATATTCATGAGTTGTGAGCCATTGTCATGGAAGAATTAAATTGGTCATAAGGGTATATGCCCTAGCTTAAGATGATGGAGTTAGAAGTTGCAAAACCACACCAATTATTGATAATTATTTGAACTTTAAAACCGTTAATAAATAAATGAAATTTCAGGTTACCTTCTAGCATAATTTAATATGGTGGTGTCAAAGCAGTTACACTTATTACGCGTGTAAGGTTGTTTTCTAATGGTAAATGTATCATGTATGCGACTTTAAACTATTATCGCTTTTTTTTTAATCATCAAATTATTTTTCTCTAAATTTGATTATATATAAATATCAGTTGAAAAAAAGGATAAACTACACAAATGGTCACTATGTTTGAATATATTTTCGTTCTTCCTACTAAAGTTTTAAAAGTAACAAAATAATCATTAATATTATCGATTTATAACAAATCGATCGCTCGATGTTAATCTCCTTTACTATGAGTGACAAAAAGTTGATGTGACACGTTACTACTAACCTCACACCGTTTGACCACCATTTTGACCAATCTCTCTCTTTATTTTCACTCTATCTCATCTCTACATTTCTTTTAACTTTTCAAAATCCACTATTTCTCATTAGTCTTTCTTCTTCAATCTTCACGCACTGCACATGCATTGTTCCCAGAGAAAATACAAAAAATGTACGTTCAAGTTCTATATTGTTTGGGGATGCCTAGAGCAATGAATTTCCTTATTTTGGATATTGGTTTCCAAAAATTAATTTTGATATATGTTTTCTCTCTCTAATGAACTTGAGGTCGATGTGTTTATCGAATATAAGAAAACCTATAGATAGCACCTTGGAAACATCCTGGTCTTAGCTTCTGGTCATTTATGAAGGTACTGTCCAAGTCTGTCACCAAAAGATTCTCCCATTTCTTTTGAATCTGAACAACTCCTGCTATTGTAAAACTCAGATATACGCATAATTTGTAGTTGAAACCATTACAGCTGCCTTATCAGGGAGACGGCCAAAAGTGACTTCACTCTACAAAATGACCCCAAAACAATCTACCGATGATGCCATTTTCAATGCAAAAATAGAACAATGACAATAGCAACAGTGTTATTTTACTCGTAGAAGCAAATTCAATAACATCTGGCATTTGAACCTTAAACCCAATGTGTCTTAAATATCCATCACCTTACTCATCAATGCCTCAAAATATTATCGATTTCTTCTAATCTTTCTACAAATCCCTTAAAAACCTGAAACACTTCTCTTTCTACACATATAATTACATCAAAGGTATTGTTATCTAGCAGCATAATACATAATATCATGAATATCATACTCCCAATTTTTGTAAAACCAATAGTTACTTCAGAGCTCTCGACAACGTCATCAGCAAAATTATGAATATGTTCTTTGGTCGTATCAGATAAAATGATGAGCACATGCTGCTCGACCTTGACAACCATACCAGTTGCACCTTCCTTCATCCGAGCTCCAATGCATCTTTATTTTTAAATAAGCATTTAAGGTTCATAAGTCAAAAGTCAAAACCAAACGACTTAACCTATAATAGCTTGAAAATCCTCACATGCAGGTTCAAGAAGCCACCTGTCAAGCATGAATAACCCCAAGATTCATCTGTTTCCTTAATTTGATTCTATCAAATTTGAGCTTAGCACTTATAGTTCTTGAACGAATGTGTTATGTTTCCGGATCGAATAAGAAAGAATTTTTAGGGATTTAAGAAATGTAGAGAGAAATAGATACAGAAAACTTGCAATTCATTCATAAGATATTCCTTAAAGGATGGGTACAAATTATTTATACTCAGTACCAGCTGTCATAACAGCAAATCTAACAAAATAACCGTTTGAAGCTGACTCACCCTCCAAACAACTCTCCTAAAATGATTCTATTCAAACCAGCCCAACATAGAAGCCCACCTGAACTCATATTGGGTTAAGTATTAAAAACCCATTATGCTCTCCCCTGCCCACCTTCAATCTCGTCTTTTACTCTTCCTTCTTATCTCTTTCTCGATTCCCAATCCCCAATTCCACAGATAGGATCTCAATCCCTAGCTTCCCTCTCAATCCCTAACTTCATTCGATCTTCCCCCAATTTCTGCTGTGACTTCCCAATTCTTCCCTTCACCGTTTCCCCCAAATCCACACGATCCAACCCTAACTTTCCTGTCATCATAACAATACCCCCTTCTCCAGATGATTCTTGTCCCCAAGGATCAAACTGAGGAAATTGTTGTCTCAGTACAGTATAATCTTCCCAAGTTGCTTCATTTGATCCCATATTTGTCCACTGAATAAGCAGTTGAATGACTGCTCGATTCTGTTTTGTAACCACTCGCTGATCCAAAACTAGGGCTGGATAAATTTTCAGTTGTCCATCCGAAGCGACCTCTGGAGGATCGATCGAGATAAGTCCTTTTTCTCCTACTTTCTTCTTAAGTAAACTGACATGGAAAACTGGATGTATCTTCGAATTTGCTGGCAACTCCAGTTTATAAGCAACTTGACCCACTCTATTTTGTATCTTGTAGGGTCCAAAATAGCGAGCAGCCAGCTTCAAATTTCGTCTTAGGGCCAATGATGTTTGTCTGTATGGCTGGAGCTTCAGGTAAACTTCATCACCAATTTGAAATTCCCTGTCTGTTCGATGTTTGTCACTCATCTGCTTCATTCTGTTGGTAGCTTTAAGTAATTGCTCTCGTAGTAATGAATTTAACTGTTCCCTGTGCTGCATAACATTCTGCACTGCCTCCACTCTAGAGTCTGTTGTCCATGTGACATTAAGAGCTTTATATCCATATAAAGCTTCAAATGGTGTCATTTGAAGAGCAGAGTGGTAATTAGTATTGTACCACCACTCAGCTTGAGCTAACCATTTGGACCAAGTCTTTGGTTTCAAAAAACACATACACCTCAAATATTGTTCTAAACACTGATTTAACCTCTCTGTCTGGCCATCTGTCTCAGGATGATAGGCAGTACTAAATAAAGTAGTTGACCCCAATTGCTTCATTAATTCTTGCCAAAACAGACTAGTAAAAGACTTATCCCTATCAGATATAGCCACCTTAGGAGGACCATGTAACTTGTAAACCTGATCAAGATAAACTCTAGCCACCTCCACTACTGTATAAGGATGAGATATTGGCATAAAATGAGCATATTTAGTGAATTTATCAATCACCACCAAAATGCAATTATATTTTGTTGAAGCTGGCAAACCTTCAATGAAGTCCATTGTAATCACTTCCCAAGCATTATTTGGGACTGCAATAGGCTGTAACAATCCTGGTTTAGAAATATGTTCTATTTTTGTCCTCTGACACACATCACACTGCTGTATATGTTCTTGAACTTGAACTTTCATCCTTGGCCAGAAAAAATAAGACTTAATTTTCTGATAAGTAGCTTGAATGCCTGAGCGACCTCCTTGTGGTGAATCATGCAAAGCTTCAATTATTTTCTGCCTCAAATCCCCCTTATTGCCCACATAAATTCTATTTTTGAAATACAAAATTCCTTTCGATAATTTCCAGTCCTGTAATTCATCTGGCTTAATAACCAGAATAAGAAATTTTTCTTGGGCTATAACATCTTCTTCATAACTCTTTTCAATATCTTGTACCCAAGTAGGAGTTATAACAGTAACTCCCATTTGAACAAATTCACCAGAATCCATTTGTTGTCTAGAGAGTGCATCTGCTGCTTTATTAGACTTACCCTTTCTGTACTGAATAATATAATCCAACCCCAATAACTTTGTAAGTCCCTTCTTCTGGATAGTTGTAGTTAACTTCTGATCAAGTAAGTGTTTTAAGGATTCATGGTCTGTTTTAATGACAAAAGATCCACTCTCCAAATAATGCCTCCAATGAGAAACTGTCATCAAAATGGCCAAATACTCTTTCTCATAGATTGAAAGATCTGCATGCTTAGGACCTAGAGCTTTACTCAGATATGTCTCCCTGCTTGAGAAAGAACAGCTCCAATCCATTTTGAACTAGCATCAGTTTCCAGAAAAAATTTCTGCTCAAAATTAGGCAAAGCCAACACAGGAGCATTACACATAACTTTCTTTAGCTTTTCAAAAGCTGTTTTGGCTTCCTCTGACCAACAAAACCCATCCTTTTTCAACATATTAGTTAAGGGCTTACTCAGTTCCCCATATCCTCTTATGAATTTCCTGTAGTAACCAGTTAAGCCTAAAAATCCTCTTAAAGCTTTCAGATTCTTAGGCAAGGGCCACTGTTGCATAGCTTTAATTTTGTTAAGATCTGTTGCCACCCCATCAGCTGATATTAAATGCCCTAGATATTCCACTTGTTGCTGACCAAAGAAGCACTTACTCCTTTTAGCATATAACCTGTTTTTCAACAGAACTTCCAACACAGTTCTTAAATACTATTTATGCTCTGTCAAGCTAGGACTATAAATCAATATATCATCAAAAAATACAAGAACAAACTTCCTTAAATATGCTCCAAACAAGTCATTCATCAAGGCTTGAAAAGTAGCTGGAGCATTAGTAAGACCAAAAGGCATTACTTTAAACTCATAGTGTCCTTGATGAGTCCTAAAAGCAGTTTTATGAATATCTTCCTCCTTGATTCTAATTTGCCAATATCCCGACCTCAAATCAATTTTTGAAAAGAACACAGCCCCATTCAATTTATCTAACAAATCCTCCACTATAGGAATAGGAAACTTATTTTTAACTGTAGCAGAATTAAGTTTCCTATAATCCACACAAAATCTCCAAGTTCCATCTTTCTTCTTTATAAGTAAACATGGAGAAGCAAAAGGGCTTTTACTCACCTGAATAATAGAGGAGGACAGCATTTCAGTAATTTGTTTCTCAACTTCAGCCTTATGATGATGAGCAAATCTATAAGGTCTCAGGTTTACTGGTTGTGTCCCCTGTTTAAGGACAATTGCATGATCATGTTGCCTACTAGGAAGCATTCCCTTTGGTTCTTCAAAAACTTCTTTAAACTCTTCCAATAGTTCTTGTAATGGTAGAGGAACTAAGTTGTCTTCCACTTCATCACTTAGCAAATAAAGCTCCCCACTTAGTTCAGTGTCTTTTTCTGCTAACTTTTGTAGTTTTTCTCCCGTGATGGATCTGATTAATGGCAGCTTTTGAGACCCTTTTATAACCACAGTTTCTCCATCTTTCTCAAAACTGATGGTTTTAGTTTTAAAATCCATCATTATAGGACTAAATACTTCCATCCAATCTACCCCCAAGACCATATCACTACCTCCCAGAGATAACACTCTGAAATCATGCTGGAAATCATAGCCCTGCATCTTCCAACTCACCTTATTGCTTCGAGCAGTACTGAACAGCTTCTCCCCATTAGCTACTGTAATAACTAATGGCTGGGTATGCACCAATTCAACCCCTTCCTTGGCCCATTGAGGAGTTACAAAACTATGAGTGCTACCACTGTCAATTAGCACATTAATAGGTTTTCCCTTGATAAAACCTTGAATCCTCAAAGTAGTATGTCCCACACTCTCTGTAATTGCATTGATAGAAATTTCCAGGGTTTCTTTAGCTTGATCTTCTACCTCTCTATTCTCTTCTTCTGTTAATTCCTGTACAACAGAATCTGTAGGTTCCTCTTCCTCCATGCAGTTCAGCTGTCTGACTTTGCACTGATGCCCTGGAACAAATTTTTCTCCACATTTAAAGCACAAATTGTTGGCTCTCCTGTAGTCCAACAAATTCTGTTTTTGATTAGTATTAGGAGGAACTGACTTAGGTAAGAAACTCCTATTGCCACTGTTCTGTTGACTGTTTGAAGCAGTATAAGATAAAAATTTACTAGGAGATTTGTACTTCTTTCCTTCAATTTCATTAGCTAACTCATATAGTTTAGCTTGCCTATAAGCTTCAGATAGGTTCTTAGGCTCCAACACTTTCACCTTATGTTTTAATTCCTCCTTCAGACCACTAATAAAGCTGGACACAAAATAATTCTCCCCCAACTGCATGTTCTGTTGCAATAAATAAGGCCTTAATTCTTCAAACTTTTCTTGATACTCCTCCACACTCCCCTTCTGCATCAACTTATTGAATTCTTCAATAATATCAGAATAATTTCTATCACAAAATCTGTGACACAAATCAGCCTCAAATTCATGCCATGTCACTCTATACTTTTGCATAATGTACTCATCAAACCACGTCTCAGCCTTTCCAACTAAATACATAGCAGCTATTTCCAGTTTCTGCTCCTCATGTATTCCGAACAGATTAAAAAATTTCTGACATTTCCTGACCCAACCCCTCGGATTATTACCCTCAAACAATGGTAATTCCACTTTTGGTCTAGGTAATACAGAACTAGGATTCCCAAAAGGGTTTTTACAGTAGTTTCTAGTATCAACATGCTCATCTCCTCCCTTACTCTCACTAGAACTACCCATAAGCTTCTCTTCTTGCATCTTCTGATTAAAAATTGGAGGTCCAGTAAACCCCACAGGTTTAGAGGCTAGAATCCCAGGTTCATTAGGTTGAAATGTGTACTTCTCATTTTCACTAAGAACCGTAATTAAGCATGGTACTTTACCTTCACTTTTGTTCTGTTTCTCCTCTGCTGGTGGTTGGTTCTTCACTGACTTAGGTGAATCTTTTTCCTCCGCTGCCTGATTAACCAGCTGTAATATCCTCTGTAAATACCCTCTATTCTCAGTCATACCTTCTTCTAAGGTTTGTATCCTTCCTTCCAGCTCTGCCTTCTGCCCAGCCCACCAAGATGGTAAGGTCTCCTCCTCCTCCAGTGCTACTTGTTCTGGTACCTCTGTGGTCCCAGTTTTCTGCATTTTTCTTGTCTTTCCCAGTGTGAACAATTGATTTTGGATCAAAAACTCAGCTCTGATACCAATTGTTATGTTTCCGGATCGAATAAGAAAGAATTTTTAGGGATTTAATAAATGTAGAGAGAAATAGATACAGAAAACTTGCAATTCATTCATAAGATATTCCTTAAAGGATGGGTAAAAATTATTTATACTCAGTACCAGCTGTCATAACAGCAAATCTAACAAAATAACCGTTTGAAGCTGACTCACCCTCCAAACAACTCTCCTAAAATGATTCTATTCAAACCAGCCCAACATAGAAGCCCACCTGAACTCATATTGGGTTAAGTATTAAAAACCCATTATGCTCTCCCCTGCCCACCTTCAATCTCGTCTTTTACTCTTCCTTCTTATCTCTTTCTCGATTCCCAATCCCCAATTCCACAAATAGGATCTCAATCCCTAGCTTCCCTCTCAATCCCTAACTTCATTCGATCTTCCCCCAATTTCTGCTGTGACTTCCCAATTCTTCCCTTCACCGTTTCCCCCAAATCCACACGATCCAACCCTAACTTTCCTGTCATCATAACAGAATGAAAAAGGACTAACAGAGGAAGGAATGTTAGGAGCTGGAAGCTTTGCACGAGACAGAGATAGCTGTGACATGACGTAGTTGTCTGCCCTCAACCTGGAGAGTAGCTTTTTTTTTAGCTGTAAAAAGAAGTGGGGAGAGAAGAGAGAGTTGAGATGGAAGAGAAAGATATGTCAAAATGGTGGTAAAATGGTGTCAAATCAGGAGTTAACGTCGAATGACCGATTTGTAATAAATCGATAACATTAATAACCATTTTATTACTTTTGAAACTTCAGTCGGGAAACAGAAACATATTTAAACATTAGTGACCATTTGTGTAGTTTACCCAAAAAAACTAAGACATTAGGCTAAATAGAAGTATAATCATCTTGTTGCGTCAAACCCGTGTCCAAGACCAGAAGACCAACAAGTTCTGCCGGGGAGCATCATACTGATTTAGCTGAAAGTGAACCACAGATCCAATGAGCATCGTACTAACAAGTTCTGCCGGGGGAGCATCGTAACCTAGCAATTATATTAAGCTTCAGTGGCAAATAAGATAAGCAGCAAATAATATTCAAATGTGGAAGTTTTCCATAACTAATCAACAATTTATCCAACCCCAATGAGCTGAATCTACATTAGACAAATTCTCGATAAACGATTCAATAGATTTCTTAGCATCGAAAATTACGGAGGTAACAAGACATGTTGACACAATATAAGATCTGAGATACACTTTCTATGGCGATCGATCCTCCGAGAGCAATTGACGCCACCATCAAGAATGTTTCGAACCACAACATTTAGAGACTGAATTCCTTGAACTTCATATATTTCCTCCTTAACATCATCTTCATTCATTCCTTTCTGTCTCATCAATGGCCTTTGGAGCTGCACCCAGAAGGACCGAGACTACTCCCTTCACCCACTGGGGTGTTATGATAAGCTTCAGCTTCCTACAGTCCCGAGGGAAGTGTGGGATGATGGAGAAATTCAAGTCATTTCCTTTATCTCCAGCCCTACTATGGGCTATACTATAAAGAGGAACCTTTTGCCCTAAGAGGCCGGTTTCTGATGACGAACAATTTAGTCCGGTTTTTTGCATATCTTCTTGTGGAAATGGGGGCAGTGCTGGTTTTTTTTGAAATGCAAGCCTTTTTAACATCTGCAAAGACATGTTCCTGATGCTCTAATTCACCGACTTCCGTTTGTTTTGCCCCTATCTTCCAGAAAACATGTTCGCGACCAATCTGAGTGGAGATAAAACAGATAACAGAAAGTGATCATTGTGTATTATTGAAGTACTTTCATAAGCATGTCTGAACATGATTGAATATTTGAATTGAGTAGACCAAAAGAATGAAATGCTGGCTTGATTACAGTTTCTAGTTCAACATTTAAGGACTTCATGAACTAAGAAATTAATTAGATGAAATATGGGAAATGGGAGAATACCAGTTGTTTTTCCAGAACAATCTCCTTCTTGACACCAGTGCTGCATGAGATGATAAACAGAAACATCTAGGTTAGGCACGAAGATCATTGAGCTAACAAAGAAACTCACCAACATTTGGAATAATCCAGAACCAGGAAACTTTATACATGAACTATTAGCATTTAATTTTTGTACATGTATACGGTACATATCATAGGTGTAAAATTAGAAGGAAATGTAACATCCTCAATATCATGTTAGTGACTAAATTGAAATATTTCAGAATTTGTTGGTCAAAGTAAAATAGTTGAATAGTTCAATGATTTATTTGGGGATATTTCCTTAAAGTTATTAGTAATTATCAAATGAATTAAAGGGCAAAATGGTCATTTGACAAGAAAGATATTTTTACCCATTTATATAAATGATTCACGTGGGGTGGGGAAGAGTTATCTACAAACTCTTCTTCCTTCTTCATTTTCTTCTTCTCCCGTGAAGACTCCAAGGCAAATGTGAGTTTTCTGGTTAATCAATTATTTGTTGATTTTATGAGTTATTTTTTATCATTAGATGATAATTAAGCTTAAGGAAATCTTAATTTGTTCTAAAACAACAAGATGAAAGGTATATGAGAGATTAAAGATTTTGAGTTCTTGAATAAAATCTTGATATAGAGTTGATAAGTTGAATTTGACTTGTCATCTATGAGAATAAGAAGTTAGAAGTGTTAGAATTAAGTTTGAATAACATGGAAAATTTGGTATGATTATTGATTTCTATATGGAGAATAGAATTTTGAGGTTTAAGATGAAATAAATGGATATAAATTAGTTTAAGTATGTATATTTGAGTTAAATATATGTAAGAAGATGAAATAGGAAGTGTTTGAGCAGAAATGAAGTGATTTTCGTGCTCAAAATATAATTTCTGGTCATAGGGTATCGATACCATATGAAGGGGTATCGATACCTCCTCTTGAACGAAAAATTACAGAATGTCAGTATGCTATCGATACCATATAGGGGGTATCAATACCCCTGAAGATAAAAATTTCCAGAATGTTATCAGGGTATCTATACTATAGACAGGGCATCTATACCATAGACAGGGTATCTATACCTCAGTTAGGGATGTACAATATCTACTTTAAACAAGAAATGAAATTGGTTTTCCTTTAGTTTAAGAGTTGAAAGATTAAAGTATACAATTGGATTATTGATATGTATAAATGTTATATTTATGTAGATATTGAGCCTAAACAAGTTCTGAAACAATCAAAGGATTAGGATTGGATCAAAGCAAGGCTAAGGTGAGTGCAATTTAATTATACTTAAGTTATCGATCAAACATTGACTTGCGATGAGCCAGTGACAGAGTTATTATGGTAAGGAGTAATTTCTAAAATGTATGTGATCTTTATACGTGTATGAGTACATGAAAATGTGTATAGGTGTCATATGTTATTATATGCGATTTGTGATATTGAATTACATGAATATATGAAAAATATAATATCAATTATGTGATATGCATGATATGTTATCTTACGTGCTATGTAAGGTATATATGAATATATGTAAACAATATATGACATGTGTATATGAACAAAGGAGAAATTCTATAAGCCATATGAAACAAGCTATGTGATTCTATGCAAAGTGATGTAAAATATGTGGCATATAAATATGCGATCCATGATACATGTTATATGATATGAACCTATGTGATTACATGAGAAAAAATGTATGTCTATGAGAAGACATAAGAACAAGGTATAAGCTATGTAACATGTGAATATGATTCATATGAAAATGTTCTACGTATAAGTGAATTATGTGCTGATGTGAATATGTGATAATTATAAAAGATAATGCCCATGTTATGTGTCATGAGATCTAGAGGTATAGTTGGCATGCCAAGAGTAGAGGGTCTACGCGATCCTTCGGGACAAATTCTACGTGGTCCTTCGGGACGTATATGTATTCTTTGGAGCACGTATGAGGTCTTTTGAGACACTTACTTGATCCTTGGTATATGTATATGATTCTTAAGGAATTTATATGTGGTCCTTATAGACAATCTTATATGGCATTACGAAGCATTTCTACGCGGCACTTCGGTGCAAATTCTACGTGGCACTTCGGTGCAAATTTATACGAGTTGTGGTGACAGCATTTGTGCACAACCTCAATGTATTCGAATACCTTAAGTTCTCAAAAATGTACATGGACCAATAAAGAGATAATATCAAATACAATATATATATGAAATATATGTTTTGATGATACGAAATGTGTTACATGAATTATATGATGATATATGTGTTCCATAATGAATATAGAAATGTCCAACATATGCTTATATGATAAAAATGAATTAATGATAATGAATATGAAATGTTAAATGTGTTGATAATGATATATGTGTATGTTGGTATATGTTACAGAAATGATATATGATTTTATATGATATGATTGTAATAAATGTTCATGCATTTGATATGAATTATGTGATGTTAGGTGTATTTCTTTATGAAATGTTTTATAGTTTTATTATATGTTTTATATGCCTCACTAAATCATCGACTTAGCGTGTGATTGTTTCACACGTAGGTTTGGAAAGCGAAAAGAGAAGTAAAGAGAAACAAGACATGTCAGTTCTCCTTATCGAAAATCAGATCAGAAATATAAATCGAATTACATGTATTTTGTTAGGAAGAATTTAATTGGCATGTAATAAATAAAAGATTTGTATTAAATACGCTCTGATCGAGTTTTAGAATGTTTTAAACGTATATATGTAAATGATAAATATATAACGATGAACGTTTTAAATTTTAAGAATTTATACGTATTTTACGAAAGTACTGTAGCACGATACTGTTCATATCGTATTTTACTATTCATAAATACGTTTTTGACTTAAATTTTTGTATTGAAACATATTTTAATAGAATATTGCTGTATTTTCTTAAAATGAGTTCAAATGTTTTGATATTTTGCAAGAATA